TCCTGTTTGTCCAGAAGTCTTCTCATCAGGGCTCTATAAATACAGAACTACGGCAGATATGTAATATTTAATGCAGCCGAACCATGTATTACAATGCCGTTATGTGATGACTTTCAAAGAGAAAAGCAAGCACACTCGGAATAAAGTATTATTTTATTTTTAAAAAATGTTTTCGGATTTCCCAACGTGCATTGCGGCTAAACTATCGAATCACCGAGCTGAGGACCTTGCCTACGTCTGTTTCCGGTATTTTTTATGACGTTTGTATTTTGTTATACACACATTCCTTCACATTTAAATTTAAATTTACATTAAAGTATTTCGTGAGGCCTTCTAAAATGTTTTTAAATATAACTACGGTTCTAGTTGAAGAGTTTGTAAATTAACATGAACCGAAGCTGTTGCCTGGCAACGCAATCGCACAACGTCACGTCCGTTAATTCCACATCCACACCTTTATATATACAGTCTATGATCCACACACATGGATTAACATCGATTTAATACATTAATGTAGCCTTTGTTTCTGCTAAAAGAGGTGTCGACCAGCTAGAGTAACAAGAAAATCGGCGAAATCGAGTGTGACGATTAAAACAAATATTTTAAAGACATCTAATTTTGACAATAAAAACCGACCAATAGGCGCGGTAGACCATTTGCTTGGCACTTCCCGGTATTTCTCCCTGTTAACAATACCGTGTAACTGTCACGTTTGAAGGGGATTAACATCGATTTAATACATTAATGTAGCCTTTGTTTCTGCTAAAAGAGGTGTCGACCAATAGTCTTGGTAGAGCATTTGCTTGGCACTTCCGGGTATTTCTCCACTGGTTGGGCCATGTTAACAACACCGTGTAACTGTCACGTTTGAAGGGACGAAACCGTGACATATTCACGTCTCCCAGCATGGTAGATCGTCACATGTTCACGTCTTGCCGTGATACCGAGTTGCTCCTTGCAGTATCAACACTAATTCGGCTGACTTTTTTATTTGATCCAATTGGTAGATAGGCTATATTTACACCATAACGGTGCACAGCTGATAGAAAGGGACTTGTAGTTTTTAAAGATATTACTGATTTTCTTTGAATTAAAGAATGTAAATACTGAGTTGAGAGAATAGTCAGGGGTTTTGGGTGATGGGAGACACATCTATGGATTCAGAATTTCAATAGCTGATATTATTATGTCACTGTTTTTTTTAACCCGCACCGCCTAGTGGTTAAAGCACGTTATTGAATTTTGTTGTTGAATGTTATATTTGATGAAAACATTTAAATATTAAGAGTAGCCTACATACAAAATAGGGGGAAAGTAGAAGGTCAATGCTAGAAATATAGAATAGAAAATATCAAGAAGATACTGTAGTGATCTCTACAATAAAACAGTTTAGTGCAGGACGTCCAAAGATATTAATAGGAGGATGTGCAAAACAGACAAACTAATAAGGCTTTATTTAAACATTAAAGAATACTTTAACCTGTGAAGCCCGAGAGACCCCGGTACCGGGGCACTGCCACAACATCTTGCAGGAAACAGTGTCTGAGGGCATGTTCATTTAATAAACTATGAATGTTTTATATCCATGTAACGGGAAGAAACTCATCTAACTGATCATTTTTACATCAACAATGCTAACGCTGAGCCTCTGAATTAGCAACGAGCGAGCAACAGATTACTGCACCGAAAATCACTCACAAAACCTTATTATTGATCTTTTCTCCACATCCATGACATCGTTTCACATCGTGAGGTGACACAGAATCGAAGGATACCCTCATTATCACTAAATTATACGAAATCGCGACGTTATAAACAAAAACAGACATCAAAACATGTGGCGCTAGGTAGCTAAAAATGCTAACATGGTTACCTTGTCTCTGTAGTCTGCTCCAAAGTGGTCTTCAATGGCATTAAAACGATAAAAAACTCTGCTGAAGTTAATCCATAGGTTAATCCAATGTGTCTGTGTCCCTTTGAAATGATTTCTGATAATCCATGAGCAATAAAACTGCTTTTCCGTTTCTAGATGTCAGAGCTAGAGTGTAGTTTGCTCTGATGCTAAACTACATGTGCGAAGCCCCCACCTTTTTGTTTTACAACATGTGTGTGGGGGTGTCCCCCTTCGATTCTATTGGCTCTAACGGTCAGAAAGAGGTGTCAACCATCAAAATCGACAAAGGGGGGCCAGAGATATGGAAAAAAAAACATTTCACCTCAGAGGTGGAGTTTTTTTGGCTAAACCTCTCTAAAAAGGTCAAATGTCACTTGTTTTGCATCAATCTTGATACAGGGTACTTATTATATGTTGTACTTTGGATTCCTGAAGCTTTTAGTCTACCTTTCCATCATCCAAGGATAGTTTTCACTATAAGTAAAAAAGAATTTTTGGACGGACACTATAATTTACAGGTTTTTACTATGTAAAATCAGAATTTTCGTTAAAATAAAAAACATCTATATTGTTCTGACTTTTCTACATTTATCATTACTTTGAGAAAAAAGATTATTAATTTAACCCTTTTAGAAGGGAAGATATGGTCATTTGTTCTGGGAATGTCATTTTCCAGCCTGAGACCTGAAAAACAGACTCAGGGCTTAACAGGTTAAGTTAAGTTCTTCTTTTGAATAAGAAAAAAACGTTGGGGGTATCAACAGATAAATATTAAGTCTGACAAAGTACTTAACGTCTAATATATTGCATAGTTTATTTTGGCCCTTGACAATCACCTTCCCTGAATTTGACTCAGGTGTAACTAAAGTCTGATTTAAGGGTTGTTTATATTTCACATCATTAATCAGAATCTGCAAAGTAACTAAAATAAATGTAGTGGAGTAAAAATACCAGGTTAACCTCTGAATTGTAGTGGAGTAGAACAAAGTAGTACATGCTGCTGTAGCAAAAACATTTCCCAACTTGGGATCAATAAAGTATCTTATCTTATCTTATCTTAAGATGATCGATGGCTACTGCCATATTTGCAAAATTTACCTCTGAACCTTGACAAGTGCATGTTTCAGGCTTATCAATGAACAACAGGAGGGGTCACAGACATAAGACCAGCTGTTAAATAAAGCTCTTCTGACCTGAGCTGTCAGGTGGGTATATTAATGCTGCCCATTATGGACACAAGCAATTTTCACCAATGTATTAATTATATGTTTTAAATTTGATAACACCACTGTGTTTCATATCCCCTAAACCTCCAGGGGTGTAAACAGTGTAATACTGGCGTCTTTTAAAACTACAATTCCCAGTAGAGACGTGCCATAGAACATGTTGCGAAACACACAATAGCCAGCATGTGTAATTCTGGGGGGGGGGGGCTGGGCTGGACCCGTCCAAGTCCAGTGTTGGATAGTCTGCCGTGGTTCCATTCCATTTCAAAGAGCTGTTTGACGCTCGGCGTAACCTTGTCGCACTGCAAGTCCAACATCCAATCACAGAGCTTGAGGACTAATCACGGGGTTTGTAAAGCAAGGCGGATGTTGTAGTCCCAAACGATAGCTGGGGATTCTGGGTAGTGTAGTGTCTTCGGAAACTCTGTAGTGTCTACACTCCGAAAAAACTATTTGTTTCTCCGAATCGAAGGTTAAAAACACAAAAGCATTGTACACAATTTAAACCGATCAATATTGTGTAATTAACAAGGATAAACTGGTGTTTTTTAGTGGATGAGTAATGCAGATATCACTGTGTAATCATTTGACAGTGAGGGGAATACTACCGGTTTTATTTTGAAAACTTCGAGACCGGAAATACTGTTTTCACCCCGTGAGGGTTGACGCCAGGGGCGGACTGGCCATCGGGACGTTCGGGACGAATCCCGATGGGCCGGTACTGAAGTGGTCGGACGATGTGGGCCGGTCGGATAACTCACTAGCACCCCCCCCCCCCCACGTCGACAATGTCCTCGCGGTATTTACTTGCGGCACCGAGGTGGGATAACTCACTAGCACGCCCCCCCCCCGTTGATAATTTACCGAGGTGGGCCGGCGGTACCGAAGTGGGCCGGTCGAGAGTCCCGGGCTGATTTGTAGTCCCAGTCCGCCCCTGGTTGACGCTAACTTTACATGGAAGCTGCCTCATATACACGTTATCCAGGCGAGACCTCAAATCATCTTCGTAATATCTATCAAACTATAGATCCTACACATCCACTGGACGTAGATTATAAAAGTACAATATACACCCCTCGCTAGAAATCTAATCAAAAAGCATTTTAATGGCCAAACTATTGCACAATTTAGGATTTTCCAGAGAGGGTTATTTGTGAATAACAGAATCTCCGGAGCGTTTGCAATCAACGGGAGCATGTTGTTTCTTACACGACCACTAGAGGTGCTACATTTTAAAACGTGACTCTGGGTCGTAATATGCGGCTGAACAATCGACCTATATGGTCCTTTTTTGTAGGAGGACAGGCTGATATATTCATAATAAATAAAGACAGACAACATGTATAAAGTATAAATATTGACTCTTTTATTATACACATTACCCTTTCTTTCTCTGAGCAATATAGAGTGAAGACACATATTTAATACTTTACGTTATCATATATCTACCATCTTATGGAAACAAGACAGCAAAGAAGCTATTAAATAACATCTTTCAGGACTTTGAAGATCAATTTGTGCCTTTGGTTGCATCTGATCCTTAAATAAAATACAGGGTTTTGTCTGCACGGGGTAACAGAAAGAAATCTGAGTATCAAATAGGTTCTCGAGATAATTTATACATCTTATAAACAAGATCAGCGCCACAGTACTCATACTATATCTTTCTAGAAAAACCCCTGAATATCATTTAAAACGTTTAAAGCAACAGTCAGGAATGTTTCTAACGTAAGAGACGGCCATCTTTATGTTCTGCACACTGTGACTAACAAAGTGGGAGAAGAGACGCAAAATTGTGTCTAAATAAACATGAGAATGTCCAAAACATTAGATAACAGGACATTTTCCTCACCATTTAACTACATTTAATTCCCATTTGTTCATTTCTGACCGTCACAATTCTTTACCTTCACTTTCCCAGGGGTTTTCCTTTTGAATATGATGATAATCTTTTCTCGAACTGCTTTGATTTGCAGTCCGTAGATAATAGCGTTCATAGCCGGAGAGACCATGTGGAGCAAGATGGACGCCAGCTTCCTGTGATCCGATAGGTGAGGGAAGCGGTGCAGGATGATGATGATGCAGCCTGAGAACAGCAGGATGGCGTACGCGGCCAGGTGAGTGGCGCAGGTCTGCAGCGCCTTGCTGTTCAGAGCCTTGTTCTTACTGCGCAGACACACCATGGCGATGCTCAGGTAGGTGAGCATGACGCTGCACAGGGAGGATCCCAGGATGAGCATGGCGGTGCCGAGGCCGTAGATGTGGATGATGAGAACGTTTCGCAGGACAGCTTGAACAAGGAGGCGTTGTCGCAGAACGGGTTGAGGATAACCCTCCTGCAAGGCAAGGCAAGTTTATTTATAAAGCACTTTTCAACACAAGGCAATTCGGTACCACTTTACAATAAGACTACCCTTATAAAGGAATCATAAAGGGTTTATAATAAGGTTATGAATAAGGTTGTTAGCTTATTCATGATTTATAAAGTGTTCACAACATGATTAATAAATGAATTACAAACTATTCATGAACCATTTATAAGGGTAGTCTTATTGTAAAGTGGTACCGGCAATTCAACGTGCTTTACAAAAATGAAAGATATAGAGTGCCACAGTGACTCGTCCTAAAACCCGGAAGTAAACTCCTTCCGGTTCGTTTGACAAAAAAGCAATGCAATTTCTCCATAGAATTTTGATAATCATAAACCTATCGATCATAAATCTATCGATTAGATTTATGATTCGAAAATGATAAAGGTAGGGTAGACATGTGGAGATTATCCGACTGAACAAAACGTGATCCGTCTCTTAAATGTGTGTCAACCACAGACATTATTTCCAGCTATTTTCCAAAATCCTATGGAGAAATTGCATTGCTTTTTTGTCAAAGGAACCCATGCGCAGCTTACTTCCGGGGTTTAGGACGCGTCACTGTGGCACTCTATTAAGAGCATAAAACACCTTAGAAACATTAAAAAGCAAAGATAATAAAACATGAATAAAAGTTACAGTGCAGTTTAAGATGTGAATAGTTCAATTAAAAGTAACAGCAAAAAGAAAGTCTTCAGCCTGGATTTAAAAGTAGTAAGAGTTGCAGCGGACCTGCAGGTTTCTGGGAGTTTGTTCCAGATATTTGACAATATCCCTAGCCAAATTCTCACATTCCTCTATCTAGTCTTCCCGTGAAATTATAGTTCTTTTGACAGTTTTCTAAGCTTTTTATATTCCTTTCATCCTTCTCTTTCATCCATTTTGAATCCCCAGACAACACATTTTCCCCTGGTTTACTGTTACACGAACCCATCTTAGACAATTTAACCACCTGCAGCGAGACAGACGCACACTGAGGCCGATGAGGATCCCCACCAGCAGGAAAGAGATCGACCACGCCCACACCGACAGACCCAGCACCATCCTGTGGGTCATGATGGTGGCGTAACGCAGCGGCTTGCAGATGGCCACGTAGCGATCGAACGCCATGATGATCAGCACGGTGTGAGCGATGCATGCATGGAAGTGAGCACAGAAGGCCTGGAGGACGCACTCATCATAGGACATGAAGCGCTGAGACATGGGGATAAACACGTCACTCAGGATCCTCGGGATGATGGCGGAGGCCCCGAACACATCGTTAATACTCATTGTGCAGAACAGCAGGTACATGGGCTGGTGCAGGCTGCGCTCCATGCTGATCAGAACCACCAGGCCGATGTTGGACACCATGATGAAGATGTAGATGAGGAGGAGGAGGATGAAGGCAGGGACGGAGGACTGAGGCGTGACCTTCAACCCCTCCACAATTAGAACATCCAAATCTAAAGTTTGGTTCTCCATTCTGCGAGGGGAGGATCCTGCAGAGAGAGAACAGTGACTGTGATGTGCAGTGCAAAGTTAAATACACTTTACAAATAAAGGAAACTACAGGAGTATAAAGGATCTTCTAAATATGCTGCATGTTTTGTAACTGAAGGCCGAACTCACAGTTAAAGTCCTTTGCGAACACTAAACCTGCAACAATTAGAAAAAAAGTAAATATTTAATTTCCAGAATGAAGCTCAAACTGTGATCATACAAAAGAGCATTTTGCTGCTTATGTGGCATTTGCAAGTATTTAAGTGAAGAGACATTTGGTGCAAAATGTGCCCTTTAATATGCATATGAGCCTCTTTGCAAAGTCATACCAATTCACAAAGATCAGCGCTAACAGTCATGGTGAAATATTTAGCATCTTCAGTGAGTTGTGTTCACTCAAAGCATTTTATCTGAGGGGTCTCGCCCAGACTTTCCACTGGTAATGACTGCGTTGAAATGTCTTTCTTAAATTGTGTGCGGAAAAGATTATTTTACAATTGAATTTCCAAGATTAAAGATATTTACAAATGCATTTCAGATATGTACCGACATGATCATCAAGATGATTATATTTCACATCATTAATCAGAGTAGAAGTACACAGTTGAAGATTGAAATACTCAAGTATAAGTACTTCAGAATTGTACTTACACAGTATATGAGTAAATGTAGAAAGAAACTGAAATAAAGAACTTATTAAGAACTCATGAGAAGTAAGTTCTAGATATCTGAACAACAAGTTTTACTATTGACTTCTATTCAAACTCAATTACAGATATCTATAATTCATTTTTGACATTTAATAACTCCACATTTTGACTATAAAAAAACAGCAGCCTGATATTTAGAGAGAAGAAGCATCAGCCAATTTCTCTTTGACATAGTTTACCATCACTTATGATCCCAACATTTAAAAACAGACAAGAATGAACATAATATCTGTCACATTTTCAAAGAATAAAGTCACATCAGCTGTGTACAAAACATTTAAAAAATATATCTAAAGCCAGAGTATCTTCTGCATGACTCTATGAGAGACTTTAAGAAAACTGCAGCTGGTTGTAGAAACATATAATAAAACATCCTGAAAATGTTAGGGTTAGAAATAACGAGACTTAACTAAATATAAGCTAATTAAATAAACTAACTAAATAAATTACAAGAAGTCATAAAGCAAATCTGATATGCAATAGTTACATTTTGTGCGTGTACTAACTTCAGTTTTGTGAAGTTATTTTAAAGTTCAAGCCTTGCAGTGAAGCTATTAGAGATTTGATAGCCTAAGTAAACAGGGGAAAGTTTGATAAAGTGTGTGTGAGAGTGTGTGAGGCTCACCTCTGACGGGGACCTCCTCCAGCCTGACGGAGGTGAACTGTAAATACTTTTTATAATCTGATGGAGACTGGGACTCCAACCAGGAGGGTGTACTGGCTTCCCAGTGCCCTACAGGCAACCCTCAGGGCCTTTCACTGAGTCATTAACTTGTTTTGGTTTCAACTTTTTCAAACTCCTCAAAACTTTCATGCAACCTTTATTTTTGATTTGGAAATACATTGAGGTAAAGCCCAAAAACAACAACAAGATTTCCTAGCCACCAAAACACTCCAATAATAAACCAAACAATAAATAAAACAGTTAAAATATATGGCCAATGGATAAACCATCACAAGTAATCTGATGAACAGCATGCATGTGTAAAAGACACCATTGTCCAAGACTGATAAGAAGTTCCCCACAAGTGGCCTACTACAATTAATAGACATGGTTGTACTTTAAAATAAAGTTTATCCCATTATAAATGTAGCTTGTGGAGTAAATTCACAAGCTAACCTGCAGTATACTACTTTTACTTAAGTACTTGATCTGAGTACTTCTCCCACCTTACACGTAATTGAGGCAAAGAACTCTGAGTTAAGGAAGTTGAAAACGGTGCATTTCTCCGTATGAATAAGATGCCTTTTGGCCAGCTGATGGACAGATTGCTTGTGTTTCCGCGAAAATACTTATGGCAAACGAGCATTGACCACATTGAGCTCTGTAGATTAGATTGTCACTTTTGAACGCTATGTTCTCCACCGGCGGATCTCTGTGTGCAAACTCAGTTTACTTGTGTAAAGGTACTTTTTATTTCATTGTCGTTTTAGTGCGTTGTTAGGATTTCAGATCAGGGTTTTAACATTTCAGCAAGTGGAATAGTTTTATTCACATGTATTTACAGTATTGTGTCATTTACCCCCCATCAGTGTATATATGATGGTGGAGGTCACATTATGCAGAAGTATTATTTTAAGAAACACATTAAGTTGACGAAACACTCAAGTCAAATGTAATTAAAGTCAGATTCACTCGTGTCTTAGACGGGGCAGTGATATCATAAACTGTTAATGTACGCATTCAAACACTCTGTATTTATTTTATTTTTTTACCACTTGTTCTGTATTCACCTTGCAGCAGCTATGTGGCTTATCCTCGTTCATCTGTTTAAGTCATGGATGTTTAAAGTTGAACTTCTTCATATTTGTCTAACATGATAGTTTTACTTTTCAGAGAAACCCTGGGTTGATTTACCGAGTTGATAACCAGCGCCGTAGGACAGCTTAGCGAGATCGCGTTTGTTAGGGTTAGTTAAACCAGATATCTCAACATATCCAGGGTATGTTGAACTGGCTTCGTCGTACAGGGCACAGGTGTCACCCTGGAGACGGTTGCCTTCAACTCGGCATGTTTTCATTGTTTCTGTCAGCGTGGATCAGATGAGGAGGGGGGGCAACACGATGCATTTAACTGATTCTTTTATCTCTGTACAATAAACGACATGCTAACCAACATGTAGCTCAGATCAGAGACGTCACGGTTTTACATACAGATGAAGCGTCTTATTTTGGACAGTTTAAAGTGCGAGGGTCGTGATCGGTTCATGCACGTTCCGTGATGGCCGGCCGGCCCCCAGTCAGACTTGATACCGCCCCCATGATAAATACATTTAATTATTGTGAAGCCAGCTGCAATGGATCATTGATCCACCAGGGGGTGCAGTGGGGTTCCACACTGGAGTCATGTGAAATCAACTTCTAAATAATAGATGTTGTTTAGTCGGAAAAAACGAACGAGCCGGCTCTCCCGATTTTTAATCCTAATTTAATCATCATCATTGATGTTTATGTTCGCCGAATTGACATGAAATCACTGACAAATATGAATATTCTGTATTCAACTTCATTGAAACGATCAGGATGGGTGTTATTTTTCCCCACAATGACCAAGTCGCTGCAAATGATCCCATGTATTACATGTACATGGCCACATTCTCAACAAGTTACGTAACGAAACATTCTGTATTCCTTGCTTACTTTTTATTTAATGCTTTATAACAGCTGGAATAGTTCGTTAGAACAGGCACCTCACTCGCAATCTGCTCCTCCGCAACGCCTACCACCTACCTCCGGCTGAAATTATGAATGTACAGTAAGGCATAGTAATCATAGATAACACGGCAGGGTCCCGTTACAGTTTGTTTTCATCTGATTTCAAATATTTCAAATGTCTGAAGTTAATAAATACATTCTCAGTGTTCAAGTCAATAATAGTCATATAAGAAAAGTACTGATCTAATAACAGAGATTTTATAAGGACTTTTCAATGTTCGACATCGCTCATGTGAAATACAGTAAACTGGATGTTGTGGTGCCGAGAGGCGGGGTATCAAAAGTACAAGCTAAACTTTTATTTAGCATCTGAACACACTTGTAAACAACGTGATGCCCGGGAAGCGAAGACCCGGCGGAAACAGCTGGTCTGGTTCACTAAAATGTCCGTGTACAGTATATCTGGTACTAATGTATAGCGGATCTTTGTTAAGATCCATATGTCACGGATAGATATTATATATAGAGATGGGATGGCAGAAGGTGCTATATATATATATATATATAATTCCAAAGCTGGTAAAGACCTTTCAAATTTAGCAATAATAGTCATATAAGAAAAGTACTGATTTGTTCTTGAATATTATAATAAAATAAACACCGGCTGTTGTTATGCCTGCTGTAACGTTTTTTTCTCCGTTCTCCGCTTAAGTAATTATTACTTCCTGGTTAGCTTTCCGCTCGAAATTTAAATCTGAAAATGGCAAAATAACGGAGAAAAAAACGTTCACAGAGAAGACGACAACAATTGTCACTTGCACTTGTCATTTAGCATCTGAACACCTTGTAAACAACGTGATGCCCGGGAAGCGAAGACCCGGCGGAAACAGCTGGGTCTGGTTCACTAAAATGTCCGTGTACAGTATATCTGGTACTAATGTATAGCGGATCTTTGTTAAGATCATATGTCAGTAGAGATGGGATGGCAGAAGGTGCTATATATATATATATATATATATAATTCCAAAGCTGGTAAAGACCTTTCAAATTTAGCAATAATAGTCATATAAGAAAAGTACTGATTTGTTCTTGAATCAACTTTTTTATGGAAAATGTTTTATGTAATTTTATTTCATTTTAAATAAAATGAAAGACATTCACAGTTAATGTAATTAGATATACATTATTAATGCCATACATTTTTAAATGTAATTAGATATACATTATTAATGCCATACATTTTTGCATAAATATTTATTCAGTATGATAGCTGTCTAACAGAAGTTAAATCCATTTCTCACTTATTCTGACAATGTACTTAACCCCAAATAAAAGAACCCAATAAAAAATAGTTGTTAAATAATAGTGAAGTCACGTTGTAATAACAATAACTCATCTCTCTCCTCGGTTTTTTTTGTTTTCTTTGTGTGCTTTGCCAAAAGCCACTGTGTCAAGTGTCCTAGTTGGGTTACCGTAACGAACAGCAGCCGGCTCTCTCGATTTTTAATCCTAATTTAAATCGTTTATGTTCGCCGAATTGACATGAAATCACTGACAAATATGAATATACTGTATTCAACTTCATTAAAATGTTATTAACGTGCCTAAACTCAGTAA